TCCCCAGCTCTGTGAAATAAAGCTTTCGTATATTTCATGTTACAGTGCGACGGATTATGATAATATACGTCTAGATATTGGACTCAGTAATCTGTTATCCTGCTGAGGCACATACGTTCAAAATGATTCAAACTTAAGTTGCGTGAACGAATTAATATCAGTGACAAGCGTAACCTCGAAATTAAGGAAGAAAGAAGTAGATTTAGTTTTTACATCGTGGATTTGATTGTGTGAGAAACATATGAAAGTAATAAATCACGTAAAATTATCTGGAATATTTTTAATAATGAACTTAATTATATGATACTACAAAACTGAAATAATTCTCTTATATTATCACTTGTTATATGATCTGGAAAATTATTGCGAATTATATCGTAAATGTAACAAACCTAGTAAAATGTAGACGAGGAAAACAGTTGTACATTTGTATGCAAATGTCGCAAAATAATATGATATTGCATGTTCTTTTCTTTCTGAGAAAATATACTTATTTCACGTTCTTAAAGAAACATCGTTTAACGATTTTTGAAACTTACTGTCAGATTTTAGAATAATCTGACTGCACGGACACATCACATAGTTAGGCCTACTTCTACAAAAAGGGGATGTCCCTCTCCATCCTTTTTGTTGGTCTCTGCCCCACATTCCTGTTGTGATGTGAGATGTGTCTGTCTGATGTCCAGTAAGGCCGCTCTGAGTTTCTCCAGCTGACTGCAGGCCACACATATCAACGTTGCGTTCAGGCAAGCGAATCCAAAGAATATGCATATTATGAAGATTGATGCAATGCCCTGTGGACAAAGATTTTGGTTATTATAGCTAACTCCATGAAACAGATTGCTTCTTGAGATGCGAGTAGTATATTCAGTTAGTCAATAAATTTCCCACATTTTATGAAACCTTTTTTTTAATTACCGTGTTTGGAATAACCTGTCATCGGTCTCTATCTTGAGATACTAATCTCTATTTAATTTATCTTTTCAACGTACAGTTTTGTGAATATTGCTCAGATTTAAGAAGTAAAGCTTTATCTCGTCTAGAATAATAATCTAAGAAAAATGTGAATATTTGTTTTATTTAATGATATTGTAATAATGCTCTTAAAAATACAAATCCCAATCAAAGATTTTCCTTTATTTAACGAAATTGCTGCAGTTTAATTTTGAAGGTCCAGTGCCTAAGTAATATATTTCACGTGCATAAAGTTTGGGTGTAGTTTCTGAATTGAATACAGTTTAGAACATCGGGTTATTTCTTTCCCTCTACCTTCATAGAAGTTTGTATTGATTTTGCTGAAAATGTCGTTAACGTTGTGATGGTTAGCTATGCTCTGATAGATGTGATAAGTATTGTTTTTCGTGTGCGTAACACATTTATAATACATAAATTTGGTATTCATGGTAGCTACATTGTAGCCAAAACATATTTTAGTATAACGTCTGACCATCATCTGGTAACATACGGTCAAAATATAAACTTAAAAATTTGATCTGTTCCACATTTTGAGTTTGAAGTCCTTATTTCAACTCTGAAGATCGTGAATTGTCATTGTTTATCAGTATAAGATATTGTTAAATGAATACGTGAAGTATGTAAACTACAGTTAACGGGTATCCTTGCAAATAGAGTACGTAGACATTTCAAGGATTACAATGTCCTACTCTTGATTCTGAGTCACAAATTCTTAATTTATCTCGAAACGTCCTAATAGTAGTTGAAAATTTAACTTTGTTTACTAAGTTTTGTACGTCGTTCACAGAGTCTTCAAAACACTTGAAAAGAAACTTTGGCCCGATTAACTGCAGGGCACCGCGTAGGAATCTTGATGTTTAAGATTTTTACCATCTCCAAAGTAGTTCAAGTACATACACCTCTCAATATTCGACCTATATTGATTTTGCAAACAAAAATTAGAATGACATTACGTGGAAATTAATAAATTATTTATGCTATTCACACATTTTCTCGTCATAATGCGGATAAGTAAGAGAAGTATTTGATTAAATGAGGGGATGGCAGTAAATGGGAAGATTCCTTTACTTTAAAAATATTAATTTAATTTATTGTTGGATGTTTGGTGTAATGTGAAGAAGAGAATTTCCGACTTTTGAAAAACCAAGTATGAAAATAACTTTCGAAAGTAAGTAATGGTCATAGATAACGAAAATTTTAAGGATGAAAAACTGATTTACTTTTACAGATGCACACTTTTCTGTGGACTACTTTAGAACATGCTACTCGCTACCAACATCGACTTTCATGAAGTTTTGTAATATGAGAATTTTAGCATTACCTGTGTGATGTTTGCAATCTCATACGCCGGGCTCCCTGATACCTCGAAAGGATACCAGGAAGTTAAGACCATGTCATGGTTGAGTATTATGCGTACAGTGGTCTGGGTGCAGTGGAATAGCGTTACAAAAAGAGTGATGTATTTAGTAACTTTCTGAATTAACGGGATGTATCCGGCCATTGTCAAATATCCGGTGTCTGGATCTCTAGTCGGTAGTTCTTCCCAGGTGAAAGAATCCGTCAGACGAATCAGATGTTCAACTTCACGCTTACGATAACTGTAAGATGAACAAAAGTTAATTGATACAATATCAGTTTTATGTGGGCACACGTAAATTACATGTTGTAGTATCATCTTTGTCTGCAGTATAAATTACGGACTGTTTCTTACATAAAGAATGCGTCGACTTAGTTTTGTCAACAAGAAGTGAAAAGATCCTAATTTAAATCATTTCACTTGCAGCGATTCCGTTTGTATCCTGAATTAAGTAATGAAATTACGTTCTTCCCATCCTCATCCTCTTAGACTGTTAGTTACTGTTTTATGTGAATTATTTTCCGTACAAAGTAATTGCTGTAAAAGCTATGGTGGGCTGAATTATCTTCGGTATTGACGATTGTGCAGTAAATTTTTGTTCGGGCTAATAACACATTATTTTAAGATGTGGTTATTTTCATGTGACTTTTTCTTACCTGAGGCTGAAATGTACCCATGTGGCGATTTGTGTTCCAATTAATATGCGTATTTTCTTCATTAATTCTACCAACTGATGTCTGTGAACAAACGTGTCCATCCAAAGGGATAACATGCTCGTGTGAAAACATAAGACAAGTATCCCGTTATATATGGTATGAATCATTGACTTTGACTTCACGTTAAGTTGTAATCCTGCCATTCTGATTAACAGCAGAAGAATTTTGAAGCGACTCTCACTGAGGCTGTTGTGTGAGGCGTGAGTGTCCTTTTTCGTGTGCTCCATGTACAAAGGTGTTACTTGTCACTCGGATTTCCACTATCCTTTTGTACCTTCGAGTCTGTACCCTTCGGAGAGACGCTGCAGACTGTGTCTCAGTTTTTTGTGTCCTGAGATATTTTTTGTGTTTACCAGAAAGCTTTAAAATATTAATAGCTGAAAGCCGGTTGGTCTCTTTGGAATATGCGTGTTAAAACAGGGCTGTCGTTCCTGGTTGAAGATCGATGTCATCGTATGAGCTGGCCTTTTCTGTAAAACTTAATGAATTTAACGTAGCTCATTTATTGATGATGCAAGTTAATTTCTAAGACAAAGAAGTTTGTTTTTAACTTTTTCTTTCATCCCAAAAAGTAAGTAATTTCTAGTGTGTCTGAGGGACTAGGTAAGTCGTAGGTTCACATGAGTTCATGTAAGAGTATTCTGAAAGGCAAAGGTTGAATTACTTAACACCTGATTTCATGGTTCAATTTAGAAAATATTTATTGAGTGATTCATTCAACCTTAATTAACTAATCGTGTGTATTGGGCGATAGAATTTTAAGCAAGCTACTGTTCGCATTTTTTGTGGAATGAGGCCACTTTAGAAACTTGGTCGTAGG